TCTATCACTTTCTAGAAATCAATTATGAATAACTTGTGCTATATGAATAGAGATATTATTTTATATAAATATAAGACCTTTCTCATAGAATTTTAAGAGATTTTAATCAAGTAGTTATATATAGAATCAGACAGTTGTATCTTTATAATAGACAGTAGAATCTTTCTTGACTCTAGTCAGCTATGAGTATCAGAATTCATAAAAAGCATTTCATATTATTACAGTAGTATTCTTACTTGTATAATATATAGTTATTTTATTAAGATTTTATTTCTGAGTACTGATTCTGAAGACTTATTATCACTGCTCTTTCTTACTCTATTTTACAGTACTTTTATCAGATTAAATAATCTTATTTCACTACTCAGATGTCTAATTTCTTCTGATCATAGCTTAGATAAGTCATTCTTCTGTATATCTAAACAGTAGAAATTATCTTCTCTTAGCAGAGTGATTGATAATGCTGACTTTCTTGAGCTTATGATAAATAGTGTTATAAGAGATGTTTAACACAGTATTTTAAAGTAGGATTTTATAGATAACTTTCAGTTCAGTTCAGATATAGTTGAATAAGATTCTGTAATTATAAATATATAGCTTTCAAGATCTTTCTGAGTGTAGTTAAGATGTATTATTAATTTAAAAAGAGTGATTCTTAATGATTCTATAGATTGTGATTTTTAAAATCTCAAGTTGTGCAGAAATCTACTGATAAATTGATAATCTCATTCAGAATGATAATATTCAATAATTTTATCATATTCATGAGAAGTCAACTCTCTTTCAGATCTATTTTCAGAAATTTCATATAAAATAACACATGATGGCATAGTAAATCACAATAATTGACATTCATAACATTGAAGTGATACATGGATGAGAGTAGATTATTAGTGAAGGGGGCTGATACTTTTGCGTTAGTACAGTATATGATTCAATCAGTATTAATAAATTTCAAACTATCATAGGTGGGGTGGGGTGGCTATAAAAAGTATAGTTACAGGTCCTGTAAGTTACCTGAGATACACAGAACGAAATTACTACGCTGAGAGTTGAATCCCCAACCATTCTCTCCCATACTCTAGGATTTAAATTTGCTGTCCTCTTTTTTCTCAAACTATTCAACTTGGCTACGTTAATAAAAGGTCAGATATTGCTTGCAAGGACTGGCGGAAGAATGCACATGCGAGTAATCTGTATAGACTCGATAGGGTCTCTCGTCCTGTTCTAGACTCCTGCATTTCACCTCATCTTACTCGAACCAACCCACCACTTTGGAACTTTATGAATAGAATCTAGGACTGCAGTCAATTTCAGATACGTCCTCGCTGGCTTAGCACATGGTACCTTTCCAAACTCCGCTATTCGAATCATCTAGCTAATTACAATACAGGTAAACAAACGAATGGGGTAAATCTTCACAGTTGGTCTATGGATAGCTAGGAAACGGTATGCCTAGCTTGTAACGGCGATGTGTATGCCAGATGCCTCGGGGCAAAATACGCTGATGGATAGTCATTGGGCTCCTCCTATGCCAATATCTTGTTTCTTAAGGGCGTTTAAACGTCTGGAAATCCATCTCCTTGTAGCAATAATAGTCATCCCGGGCTCCTTGGCTAGCTGTCTGGCTCTTCTCTCCCTCCTTGGAGCCGCCATTGCAGCGCCTTCGCCTGCCGCCGATCTTGCCCATGGCACGACTGCCGAGTTAGCTCTTCAGGGCTGCCAAACAATTGCCCCTACGACCTTCGATTTGCTTGACATAAACAATCCCGACTTACCAATCGAGTTCGACTGGTTCTTCACCGTCGCGCGCAGAGACGGCGTGAACACGAGAATCACTACCTTTACTTTCGAAGGAATCCCGGCAGGCGCAACGGGTTGCATGCTAGCCTTCGACAGCCCCAAGCCTACTTCCGAAGGCCAGTACGGCTACGGTCCGAGTGTCACGGTAGATATCTGGTCCACGCAGCCATGGACGATACCGCATTCCCCGACGTATTCCAAGCAACCCCCAAGGGACCAGCTGGTCGCCACTTTGAATGTACCTATATCTGAGGAGCAGGAGGCATTCCATACTATCCTCGCCAGCAATACATGTTCGCATACCATGAGCTTTCTTGCGGAATATAGCCCGTGGCAAAAGGGGGACGGCATGGCGTTTTGGCTGAATCAACCAGGTACTGTTGGCTTTTCGATGGTATTTAACTGTTGACAGCCTTCGTCTGAGGGGTCCTGCCTAACATGACAAAGATATCTTCCGCCTCTGTGGTTAGAGGGGGTCTTGATTGATGAATCCGGCCTCGATTGTGTTGTTTAGATTCTAATCCCAAATAAAACCCTGAAATTACCCAGATACTTCAACACGTGTAAAACTTTATTATACTTGCTCATTCTTCAACTGCGAATATCATATGCAGAGCCCTTCAGTAAACTCCAGTACATTTCGAGGAGTATTCTAGTGTAAAATAAAATATATAGCATAGCGAGTCATCTCATTGCAGGAGTACTTACTTACACATGCACAACAGTCTTTGCTTTTCGAGCAACCGGCATCGCAGGCCCATGAGAGTGTTTCCATGGAAGCACAAAAAGTTGAGTGGGGCTAAAGCAATATGAATTTATTCTTAGCAGGAAAGGAAGTCTGGGTTTGACCCTGGTATAAATATCATGCGTACCAAAACCGAAACCGCCAGGGAAACAGTAGCAAACATGAAACAAAGAAAATACACACATCCCCTTTAAAAGAGATAAATGTTCAGGCAATCAACTTGGATGGTATACTTCATCGATGCGAGAAAAAAGGACGCTTCAAATCGCTGGAGGAAGGAAAATATGGATTCGCGCTTGCTAGGAGATGTATGCATTTTGGAAAGAGGCTCAAAAAATGGCAATATAGCAAGACGTGTAACTAGCATCGGTATCCAAAGGAAGCGGGTGGAGAGTAGCACAAAGGCACTGGAAGATTCAAAAAGATCTTGAATCTTGAATGGCTGGTTGGCAATATATGTAAAATCTGGGGGTCGAGCTCAAAGACCAGTGGAAACTGACAAGCCCACTCAAGCTCCTGGTCACCACACGCAAAGTCCCAGCCTACAATTCTGTGATCCAGGCTAGCACATATAAGCTGGCGTGCGTCAAACTGCAATTTGAAAATTCTAGCTGTAGGGTGGGGAGCGGGAACAGGCAACGGTCTGTTAGCGCCGACCAGTGGACCCTGAGCTTGTTGAAGTGGTTGGGAAGGGTGTTGATTCATTGCATTCAGGCAAGGTGATCCTGCATCGTTAGCGATGCCCATCGTGATGGGCCTATTGGACTGAATTGCCGCTGAGGCGGGGGGTGGTTTGCTGGGACGATTGGGACATGGGATGTGGTCCCATAAGACCCTGTGGGGATTGACCCGGGAGAGGGGGAATCGGCTGGTTGGCTAGGGCAGGGTCCGGAATTACATTTGCAGCGGCTGCTCTGGCAGCTTCATCCTGACGGAGTCTTTGCCCAATAACCCACTTTCCCTCTTGGTCCTTTTTCCACATGATGATACTTTCGTCGTAAGAGCCGGAAACAATGCGGGCCCAACTGCTCCCTCCACCGCCCGGGGGTATTTTGGCTCCTAGGGCCATTATGTCATTGGGGTTTCTGGACCCGGAGCTTCTTACAGGGCACGATCTCTGTTGGCGCCGAACCGAAGAGCTAGATTCAGGAATGTCGCCGCGGAGTCGAGCCTTCCAATATTGAGTGTCTACCGCCATTGCCTCAAGCCGAAGTGTCTCCTCCGCTCCAGGTGGATCCCCAAAACCTGCCTGGACGGTTCGTACGAGGCCATGGTGTCCGTGCAAGCACGCAACCTCAGCCCCTGAGGCATGGTCATATATCCGTACAGTGTCATCATTGCTGCCGCTTACTATTCGCCGACTATCGAACTGGACGCACGCGATGCCTTTCTTGTGGCCAATCAAAGTTTTTAAGCAGGCTCCGTTGTGTATATCCCATACTTTGATTAAACGATCCCCAGAGGCAGAGACAATTTCATTTTCATCTATCTGAATCGCATTTACGGCGGCACCATGACCGTCCAGGGTCATAAGTAGTGAGTAAGGTGGCAGCGTTTTGATCTGTTGATTGGCGATTTGGGCTTCCAATGTGCTAGGAGATATCAAGGATGTGTCAACAATATACGTTGGATATCGCACACCAGCACCATTAAAAAAGGAGGGATAATCTTTGTCCATCGGACTAAGCTCGCGGCGGTTCCAAACTTTTATTAATTTATCTTTCGAGCATGTAACCAAAAATCGTTTATCGAATCGTAGGTTCAATACCGAGTCCTGATGGGCATTGGCGAGCTCATTGATTTTTTCACCCGTGGAAAACCGCCAAACTATGACGCTCCTATCGCTACTCCCAGATATGATGATATCTTCTTCCGCACTCGGATCGAATTGCAAACAGAGAACTGATTTACTGTGTGCTACCAAAGGACTCCCTCTGAGCCTTCTTGTTTCCAAATTCCAGACTCTCACTGTTTTGTCGCGGCTTCCACTGACAAGCCATTTCCCGGAGAATTGAATTGTATATACACACTCCGTATGCGCCTCTGAAGGATAGGCTGGGTGAGGAAGTTGAAAATTAACAAACCGGCCCTTCCTCCAGTTATCTTCCAGTTTTTGTCTTTGTCTGTATAGATATGGCCAGTTCAACCGGCTTGTACCATTAATTGTCCTCAAGAGATGTGGGGCCTTCGCTTGGGGGTTATAATTCGTCAGCGGTGAGTGAAACGATGGGTATCTTGCGGAGCTATCGGCCCGACCAGATTTGTGGGTGAACTGTACGCTGCTAAAATCTATAGATTGCGGAGGCCGGCTTTGATCTGGCGATGACCCAATCGAGTGATCATCATAACTAGCATCGCGCATCTCGTGGTCACCCTCGGCATCAGGTAGGGTATTCATCTCGAAGGCAGAAGTACCATCGGCTTCAACCGTCTCATGCTGCTCACTCCATGGGGGGCTTGCGTCCTGCATATTATTATTACCAACGCGAGATCCTCTTCTCGAATCGATCCAGCCTGAGGGAACGCGCTTTTTTAGCTTTGGCTGCCCCATATCTGTATCTGAACGCCTCGTTCTTGACTTTCGGTTGTGCGAAAAGGGTGGCTTCGAAAGAGATTGTTCGAAAGTTCGAACTGCGTCCATGTCGAAACGCCATCCTTCTTGAATATAAAGATGCCTCCACAGTCGTGAATCTATAATTCTCTCTCTCCAAGCTCTGGACGCAAGTGCTGCAGTAAGCAGTGTAGACGTGTCGAGATATGAGAATATTTCCGAAGTGATTTCCGGGGGAAGTTTGAGAACAGGGTCCATATGGAGAAGTGGAGTTAGTCGATCAACGACTGAGGAAACTGTCGAGGTACGCAAGGTTCTCAATATGCTATAAGCCAATTCTGCGGCAAGGTCAGCATGATTTTACTCCGCAAAAAGGCGTTGAAGGAGACGGGAAAAGTGTTACCTGCTCTGTCGGCTTCGCTATGTGCAAGAATCCAGCTAGGTAGACTTACGCCTTCGTCTGATGTTTGAGCCACTTCATTTTCTGCTTGGCTTCTAGTTTCATCAGAGTAACCCTCATCCAGCTTCACAGAACCTAGCGCAGATGGAGGGGCGAATTCTCCACGGTATTTTCCGCCTGGTAATTTCGGTATATGTGCGGCGCCTCCTGCTGCTGCTGCTGTTGCTGCTGCTGCGGAATCGCGTTCCATGAGACTGTCACCCTGGCGATAACAGAGATTTGGCGAGCTGTAAGACCAAGACGGCGAGAACGGTGTGGGACACTGATGAGTATATGGAATCGATGACGATACAACCAGGTCCGTAGGCTAGGGTAGGAGCTAATAAATTCTTGGTCAAAGCTCGAGGAAAGTTTGGGAGGCAAGAGGATTGTCGCAAAGCAAGTCTATTATCATTAGCATTTGACTCGCTTTGTTTTGGGTTGCCGCCATGCGTCAAAAAGAGAAAGGATCCGAGAGAACACATACAAAGAACAATAATGGGATTATGCGACGCTACGTAGTAATAAGTGTCGAGTGCAGCCAGTCAGGTTTTAGATGAGTTTCTAGTCATAGTTGATGTATGCAGCATATCTCGACCCACCTCGAAACTCGTATAGACAGGAAACATGCGACGAAGCGTCTTCTTCGTGTTGACACCGGGTGATGGTCGTGGTGGTCGTCGTGGTGGTCGTCGTGGTCGTCGTCGTGGTCGTGAGTGCAGCTGCGACAGATACGAAATTCTACGTGCATGGCCAAACATTGTGCCGAATGCGGCGGCTAGTTTTCAGGAAGCAGAAAACTTGACCTCGCTAAGTGCGCCACTTGACCTCGTTATGTAAGCTGACCTCACAAATGTGCTGCCTGACCTTGCTCAATACATCTTTTCTTATAATTTGAAATCACTCTCTTTCTTAATTATTTATCATCAATTCTATAATCAATTCTATAATTAATTTTTAATTGATTGTAAAATAATTCTTCTCTCATTATAACTTTTATATATGAAGAAGTCTTTACTAATTTTATTAATAATTAATTTAATAATGAAGTAAGTATTTATATAATTTACACTGAATTAATTATCAACTGATTTTCAATCAATTGTTAATTACTTAAATATACAGATTGAATTTATTTTTATTACTATAATTAATTAATAATTAATTCAGAATTAATTTAAAATCAATTTAAAATTAATTTAATACTGAAATTATTCTTAAATATAATAATAAAGTAAGTATTTATATAATTTACACTGAATTGATTATCAACTGATTTTCAATCAATTATTAATTACTTAAATATATAGATTAAATCTATATTTATTACTATAATTAATTAATAATCAATTTAAAATCAATTGTAATATAATAGAACTGAAGTGATGACTAGTCAGTGATATTATATAAAGATAGTTATTCAAGAAGCTGTATAAGTGAGCTTAACTATCTTGCTTAAATAGTGAGCTCACGAGCTACAGAGTTATTGCAAGAATATCACAGATATAATACTTAGTATACTAAGAAAATTGTATAAGAAATACAGTAACTCTTATATATATTTCAGTTTCTGAAAATGAATCACTGACTTCTTTAATGAGAAGTCAGCATCTAGCTATTCTATATAGATAATAAGTAAATACTCTTCTCTTATTTCATGAGTAAGAATAGCTGAAGTAAGATCTCAGCAGTATCTCACTATTAGACTGACTGATAGAACTATGAATTTCACATTTAATTTTATTTAATCTCATTTTATACATCTCTTAACATAAGTCTCATTAGAACTAAGTATTAAAAAAATCTGAAAATGAATCATTTCTGAGAGAAATGATGTGAAAAATAATCAGATTTAATACAAGAACAGTGAAATGAAAGTAATTTCTCAGAATAGACTGTGAAAGATAATTATTCTTTCAAAATCAGAATAAGACTGAGACTGAAGATTAAATTCAGTCTCATTCAGTTTATTCAGTGATGACTTATATAATCAGAATTTGATAATAATTATTAATAATACTTATAAAATAACTAAATACATTCTTATATAAGTTTATTCTTCACTTTCTTATACAAACTACACTTCTCTGATATACTATAATCAGAGATATTAAACTGTCTGATAATTTCATATTTTATAATTATAAGTCTCTTAATTATTTCTTCTTATAATTATCTCTGATAATAGTGATAAATATCTTAACTTGAGTTGAACTTTCACTTTATTCTCACTTCTATCAATGAAATTGTCAGAATATCATATATTATTAGTATAACAGTTAAATATATACTCTTAACAATTTTTTATAACTCTAGAATTGATTTAATGTGTAAATTCATCAGATTATCTTGAAGATAGCAGTTAAATTCAGTTTTATAAGTATATAGTTTTATCTGATTTTCAGTTATAATCAATGTATACAAGTTCTGTTTCAAAGTTAGTGTTATAGTTCTATATAATATAAAGCGTTATCAAAGATTATTACTTACTAGAGAATTATATTTCACTGTCTTTATATCTCTAATATCTGCTTATTCAAATCTCTGATAGTTAATATTATAATAGTCTTAGACTAATTTAATATATGAGTCTCATTTCTTCCCTATTCAATCTTGAGAAGTATAGATATTAACTTAATAAAAGAGATCTAGTAGAGCTGCTACAGTATAGTACTCTATAAAAGATTATTCAGTTTTACTGTAATAATATACTAGTTTATTTCTTACAGTAATAATAGCCTGTGCTATAGTATTCTCTCAGACTGAATTTCTTTTTAAGTGATTCAACTGCTTCTTAAGATGAGTAAATAAACTATTATACACTTATCAGACTGACTGCAGTATTAATATACAAGTGATTGAGACTGTCTTTATTATCTTATAAAACTGAAATAGTAAATCAATCACATATTTCAACTAGACTGACCGCTGAGACCATGAATTTCACATTTGATCTCATTTAGTCTGGTCTCATACATTTCTTGATGTGAATCCCGCTGGGACTAGTCATTAAAAAAACATGCAAAGTAACTATATATGAGATCTTAAAATGAAACCATGACTTGAAAAAAATGAGAAAGTGATCTTATTTGATCTTATTTAGTTTCATTCTTGATATAAAGTTACTATTTTTAGACATTTTAAGGTTTTTTTAGACTATTTTTAATTTTTTAAAAAGTAACACTTTTTGATAACACTCAAATGAGATTTAAAGTCATTTAAAGCAATAAAAATAATTTAAATTGAGAAGTGGAAATCATAGTCTCATTTGAAAAATGTAATAAGAGTAGACAGTAAGTCTCACTGAGACAGTATGAAACTACTATCTAATGTTAAAACCGTGTAATGGAATCAGTCGAATTGATAATAAGACTATCAAAAAATCTGACCCTGGTTTCAGACACAGTCACACAGTCAGTCTAATTTCAACTAAGTTCACTTTATATCAGAAAGTTTCAATATCTGAATCTTTTCTTAATCAGAGTATTACACTTAATAATTAATTATCTGATACAATTGAAGAGTCTGAACAGTTATTTTATATATTAAACTTTACTGTGTTTTAACATTCTGTATCATATTTAGTGATGTGACTGATTTGTTTATTTATTAAATATCATGAAATTATTATTATTATTTAGAGAAGATATAAATTACATTAGTAATGTTTTAAATCTGTGATATTTAAATTATTAGTCAATCTATTCAAAATTAACAGTAGTGTTATTAAAAAGCATTATTAAAAAGCAATATTAAAAAGTATTATTAAATAACATTATCTTTTATAAAGTGAATGTAAAAGTTACTTGAGTAATTACTTTCATCTCATTCTCATTTCAAGAATCAGTCATCTTATTATTTATTATCTTAATATTAAGATTCTTTATCAGTGTTTGTATTATAAGTTGAATCATATAAGTAATACAGAGAATATAATCTTATTTATTATTTCAGAAATGCAAAGTTAATTTTTGCTTCAAGCTCTTCATTATAGTATAGTTATTTACAGTATTATCAGTTGTAATTATAAGAAGACTGAGACTAATATCTTAATAATCATTTTTAATCACTATCATTAATATCTCTGCTATATAATTCTCAGTATGACTACTGATCAATGATTCAAATTTGATTAATATCTCTTAATAAGTTCAGTTCTTATCAATGTAATAATATATAACTCTTATAAATGTAAGATTATTTATACTAGTTTATACATTCATTATAAGAGACACTCTTTGATGATTCTTCAACTCTGATTCTAGATATTATATATTAACTTTGTAGTGTGTCTCAAGATTGAACTAAAGATATAATTGATGTGAAATATAAAGATTTGAATTAAGCATTTGAAGAAGTGTTCAGAATTCAGAATTTTCAATTAATTGAAGAGAAAGATTTAGAGATATATATATACAAAGTAATTATTCACAGAAGTTATCAGATAAGAGTTATGAAATCAGAGTACTAATATATAATTATTTTTGCATAATTTTCTTTAAATTAGAAAGTTAGTATTATTAACAATTATTATCTGATAGAGTAACTTATCAGTCTATGTAAGAGGCCTACACCGAATAGATCGGTATAATAAATAGAACTTATATAACAAAGAGAAAAATGTTAGAGAAGGAAAGAAAGAGAAAGTGTGAGAATCAGCAATTGAAGTGAATATTAATACACATATGTGATGATGTACACAGTGAAGCTTCAGAGTGAAAGAATCTATACATGTTTGTAGCAGCTGAGAATCAGTGATTGAGAATGACTGAGAATCAGAGTGTATGTATTCAAGAATGAAGTGATTGAAATCTGTGAAGTGTAATGAAATAGTCTATATCATTGATCAGATGCAGTCTGTCACATTAGTTCTCTTCTTTTCAGAAGCAGTTCTCATCAGTCAAGAACTGCTGTTTCAGATAATGCAGAACTCAGAGTTCAGGTCAGACAATTATACCTGACTCATTTTATAAGATATTATCAGCTGCAGCTGTGAGATCTCTCATTGAGAATATTCTCAATCTCTCACTCAAGCTCATTATCTTCTTCTATAATGCCTGACAGCTGTCAGTCAGAAGTCAGTTAAGAAGAGAACAGATCAGTGATAGCACAGCAGAGCAAGCTTGTGTGAAAGATATCATGAATTTCTGATAATATGTCAAGACAGTAGTTGTGACTATCTAGAACTTCTATCACTTTATACTTTGTATAATAGTAATTCAGTGTGTAGAATGAGTGTATAATTCATATATTCTTAAGATTCAATTATATCAGATCTTCTATCTTATATTATTCAGTGAGATCTTGATAAACATTGATTCAATCTTCTTAATTCTGTTTAGTACTTGTCATGAAGGCTTCTGCTCAATCACAGGTGTCTCAGAGTTTCATTACTATATTATCAGTGATCTGAATTAAACTGTGAGAGTTCAGTGTGAACTGTGTGATCTCTAGAAGATTCAACACTTTCATATGATAATCATGTATAAGAAAGAACAGGCTTACACCTATTAAGACAGTATCTCAATCATTGATAGTGATCTCTGCATGTAGAAGAAGATTATGTCAATCATCTTATAAGTGATTGCAGAACTTATGAAAATAATTTTTACAGTCTGAATTATTTATTCTGATGTATTATCAGTCTCAGAGTGATAGATAGTTGATAAATAATATATAATCTTAAGAACTTGACAGATTCTTGTTCAGAGAATGCTTATAAATTGACAGTCTTAATCTGATACTATAGATCTTGACAATT